AGGGCCCCCCCACACGGCCATGGACAGTTCATCTACCACCCAGCCATGATCCATGGCAGGGGTGTGCAGCGCGGGGACGCTGGGAGGGCTCCAGGTACCCATCCTGCAGCCCGCAGCACAGCCCGGCACCGTGCAGCGAGCTCAGAGCCGCGTCCTGCCGCACCAGGGCCAGACCGCTCGCTCGTGCGGGGTGAAGCGTTGTCTCAGCACAACACCGAGTATCAGACTTTCCCATTAAATGAGGACAGTACCGTGCTCCTGCTTCACAGGATCTTTTAAAGAAATGTGAGGTCCTCAGACACTGTGTAAGAGGGGACTCCACAAATATAGATCAGAAATGCCTGCAAAATTCATTCAACAGTGAATTTAACAATCTAGCAGATTATGTCAGTTGGGAAAACACAGTTAACAATCATAATACCAAATATTTACATACTTCTCTATACAAACCTGTTATTTTTCTGTAGAGGTGTACAAATATTACCTAATCAGTCACCTGAGGACACATGGCCAAAGCCCTGGCTTCTTGATGAACTGCAGAAGTCTTAAATTGTGACCACATGTTCCAAGGTTTGTTGCACTGAATCTAAGCAACACAAGTTTAGCTGCACTTGCGTAAATACATTGAGATAAGCTCAGAGCCCTTTATAAGTGTAGGTGGCCTTCAAGCCACCTGAATTTAGGTAGGTTTGTGAGACCTGAAAAAGTATACAGACTGTTATTAGCAACCTTAGTGAATTTTCCAAGAACAGTATTTTGCATCTAGGTGATAAGTTTTTACTACAGTTTTAATTTCATGCCAGCATGTCTCTTAGAGGTAAGCCAGCCAGAGCGCAAACCATCTGGCTGAAGCAATGATCTGGATCATAGCATGCAAGCTATCACCTTGATAAACAATGAGATACAGAAAAACAGGAAGGATTTATTTGGAATTCATTTGGCAGTACTGTAGGATTTGCTGTAAGGGAAAATATCCAGGAGTTTATGTAATTCCTTAAATCTTTGAAGAGATGAAATGGATAATTTAGAAAAAGTTCTTAGAAACATGTAAGAAGAAAACTATTTTGCTCATTACAGTAACTTCTTTTTTCCTAGTTCATTCTTCTAGTCTCTTAACGTATCTTCAAACAAATGTGGCCTGCCAAATACTTTAATCAAATTACTGATCTGTAATCTCTTTGATACGGATCATATCTTAATATATAATTTCACAGTCTATAAGAACTATTAGGAGCAAACTAGAGCACTTCCAGACAGGTATACAGTAGCCACTGGGCATGACTTAGGTGATATGAGAGGATAGAAACAATAGTCAAAATTCAGTGTTGGTACCCGAATATTTAAAAACTGGTGGATAAGGCCTTGATTTCTGTAATTTTTCAAGCAATGCTACTGAAGCAGACCTTACAATCTAGCATTAAATGTTATGAAAGATTATGACGAGGTACATTCCTATGGAAACCTTACTCAAGGCAACATAAGTCATTCTACTGACATGAATAGGATTTGGTCAAAACCTGGTGTTCCAGTGGTGTAAAATGCAAGCTGAGGAGCAAGAAAAGGCCAGAAGCAACAGGATTTTAATCTCTCAGGCTCAAAGGCTGGATTTATTCTTTTGTCTCGGATCTTCTTGCAAGACACCCAATACATTTTGGACGCTACATTAAATAGAGTTAAATAAATCATCATTAGTCTTACTTTCCTGAAAAGAGCACTTACTGGCACCATCCTTTCATCTCTTCTCACATTTTATGTTGGTGGCAAATCTTGCAGGTGGTAGGATATATACTCTAGCAGACATCTGCTAAACGTGATGCAGTTGTATTCTGTTATTAAAACTGCACTCTTTCTTGTGTTTTTGGCGGCGTTCACTGTTCTGTGTAACATTCTGCTTTATGGGTGTCCCGATACATATGTCCTAATCAATAACCAGCCCATTTTTCACCCAGATCATCCTTACTCACCTGACTCCCCACTTGCAGAGTTCTTTTAGCACTTATTTGGGCAAGCTACACTTCCCTTTCTATTTTAACTATTATGGGCAATGTATGCTAAGCCCTTGTAGAGAATGGACACTGAGCCTGCACCTGAGCTCCCACCCGCATAAATAACATTGGCAGAATGTTTAGGAGAGTATCCTGGTTCACATTTCTGTTACTGGGCCAAGTTCAGTTCTGTCATGTGCTACTCGACTCCTCCTGTTTTCTCCTTGATCCTGTGCCCTTTTCCTTCTCCTCCTCACACCACCACCCCTCCACACCCCCTAGCAGAAAAAGGAGCTGATCCCACTGGGGACAGTGAGAGCCTGTCCAGAGGCTGCTATGAATTTTGTCCCACACTACCACAATAGCTCTATCATTAACTTGGAAGTCCTAACCACTTCTGGGGAGTCTTCTGCTCACATAACACATTGGCTCAGCCCCTCGGTCTTTGAGGGGATTTAACTTTATTCAAACTGAAACTTTTTTTGCCCATTTAAACATATGAATAGCTGTACCCCTGTTTTATCAACCCCACTAGCCAGGACAGGAGAACAAACAGAAAGTTTTCCAAGAGTGGCCTTCAATGAAGAAAACAAAACTGACTTAAGAGGCTCAAAGACACACAGAAAGACTCTTTCCATCCAAGAACTGGAATAATGAAAAAGAACAGTCCTTGCGGCAATATTATTTGCTAGGGAACAGATCCAAACTCTGTGTGACTCCTGATATGTAGGAGTAAATGCAAGAAATGGCAGTGTCTTACTAGCAGGAAAAAACAACTGAAAAATTCAGTACTAAATATGATTAGAAAACACTAAAGAATTTGAAAGATTTGCTTCAGATATCATCACCATTAATTACTGACTGCACAGGAAATTCACATGAGGAACTTGCCAGGAAAGTTTTATAATTCAAGTCCCAAAGAATTGCAATAAAAAGCCAAGAAAAAGGTTTGAAATAATGAAATAAAGCAAATTATCATCAGTAACATTGCATGTACATTGAGAAACAGTATTTACACACCATGAGATGGTGGTTATTTAGGGGTGTTTTGGCAAATACTTTACTGACTCATTTCTTAAGGACACTTCTGTTAGAAGGAGCCCTTGAAAAGGAGACAGTAGACATGTTTTAGAAGAGCATGCAAAGGTAGTTGCAACAAAGGCACAGAAACAGAGATTAATGAACAAGATTAATTAAACTTTAGATATCATCAGTTGTTTACCTGAATGTCTACCATTTCCTCTGGTTTAGAAATTAGGCTTACAAGAACATGTAATATCTGTCAAGCCAGACATAACCACTGAACTGTCTCACTGCATCTTGACGTCTCCTCCTCTTTTCCTATATTTGAATGCTAGGCTGTACATGAATAGAAAACTATTACTGTGTTTTTACACATCTTGGGAAAAACTGCCTCTCAGTTTGGGGAAATCATTTTTATCTGGGCACATTTACACGGCATCACTAAAATCCAGTATGAATACACTACTTTATGCTGCTGCCACTGTCTCACAGAACAAACTGAAACTAACTTTGTACACAACCTTAACTCCTATGAAGTAAACATGGATTACACAAAAAATTCCCTTCCCACCACTGAGAGAGAATGCCCTAAGAATTGCACACTGCACAGAAACAGAACAAAACACTTTGGAAGAGGAAGTGATGGTTGCAGCATTACTATTTGGATGCTGCAGGAGGAAGAAGGCATAACTTAACTTGTTCAAAGCACATGAGTTGAACACCTTATTCTTATCACTTGTTCCATGTAACAGAACTCAGCCAATTGATCTTTATTTAGATAAGTAACTTTGATGAAGTCTGGGTCATTAAAGTGTTTCCCCCTTCTATCATTCTGCAGACTGAGGACTGCAAAATTTTATGAAGTAACTGGAAAGGGGTTTTCCTCACAAGTTTTAAAAACAGCCAAAGTATTTTGTTTTCAAAGACGGTGCAGTGAACTTTCATGAGAGATTTTGTCTGCTTTCAACTGTTGTGGCTTTTTTTTTCTGCAAGGGGACACTAGGAGGATCAGTTTCTGGAAAAATACCTGAAAATTATGTGAATACATGATAGAACGTAGGCAGCATGGAGGAACTCAGGAGATTCAGCTGCACACAGGATTGAGCACCACTTTACAGGCTTTGCTAAGTTACAACTAGCAACGAGAGACAGAGGTCTGTATGGTTTCTATTTATGGTTGTTCAAAACCACACTAGAAGATAAAAAGACACAGCTGTGAAGTACAGTGGGATGGGGTTTCAGAAAAATAACTCCACTTTCATATCTCAGTTGGGTCATGCTTGCACAACAGGAATAAACAGTTTGTAATTGAATCAGCTGAATTGGACCTGTATAAACAAGACCTGCTGAAGTTTAAGTTTTGTCCTACGATTTCCAATATTCATCTGCAGCTTTTTCTAAGAATTCCTATTCCTGGGAATTATCTTTCATGAGTCCTCTGATGAACTGTGAGCACATAATGGGAGATTAGGTGATTGAAATTAATACCTGTGTCCACTTAATTAGCTTGGTTTCAAACACTGAATTGGCTATTAAATGTGCTAAAGCTAAACTACTCTAGACACTAATTAAACTATTTGTAAATTGTTCTAGGATGTTTTAATGTGTTTATATGCCTTGTTCACAAATGCTACCAAGATTTTAAATAGTTTAATTTAATATCCCTGGTAAAGACTAAGCCTAAAGGTAATACATGTTGACGTGATCAAAGTCTTTCTCTTCCTGAATGAATATACAACTCAGTGTAATGTAACTAACACAATGAAATAAATTCTGTCAAGTGATATAGGCCAGCAAATCACAAACACAGGAGAAGGTCTACAGGTAGAAGACCTAGACGTTCCACCCAGTGTCATCCCACAGTTCTAACCAGAATTAAAAAAAAAAAAAAAAAATCCTCAATCCTCCTTTTGCCCAAACAAAAAATAGTAAAAAAATCATTATAAGAGGATGACATGAATGCAGTTATCCATCTATCATTAACACACCTACCACATTGTCTATGCAGAATCTCACTTCATATGAAATCTCTCCTTTTCTCTTGTCTGGAGTAGCATCATTAACATTATTATGGATTGACTTCCTAAGGGAAAAAAAACCACACACCAGAAATAAAATGTCAAAGAAAAGTATTTCAATATTTAAACTAAGCAATCTTGCTACCTACATTCATACAATCTAGGCTATCATCTCTCAGGTTTCCCTAGAAAAAATATGCATATTTAAACTCCGGGGGGCAAGGAAGAGGTGGGAGTTGGACAACTGATGGGAGCAGAAACACAGATTTTGACTTAAAGGTAAGAAGAAGAAGAGTGAGGATGAATCTATCCCAGAGGCTCTTCCATTTCCTGTCACCACTATAGGAAAGGACCAGAATTGAGACAGATCCTGTCTGCTGCTGTCTTACTTTGTATATTTTCTGGTGTTTCACTGCTTCAGTCTAGGTCCTAGTGAGAGATTTCTCACCCAGGCATCTGTATCAGTTATTACTAGTAAGACCACAAAGAGGTAAATCAGCAGTAGCAAGGCAGTTCTTTCAGCAGTACAGAAGAGCAGCTGTGGAATAGAATGGGGTGCCAAAAAAGTCTCAAGCTATCTGCCCATCCACAGCGAGAAAATCTGTGTGAGGGGCAAGTGGGCATTTTTTTTCCCTAACAGAATAAGTGGGACATTTCCTAAATTGAATCATTTCTGACAGAATCATTGTCGAGATTAACGTGTTGAAAGAATGAGACCATGAAATCTGCATATGGCCTTTTCTGAGAACTGTCCTGTAAATGGCCCTTGCCTATGTTAGCAACCTCCCTCAGCCTGTGGCAGTGGGTGGCTGTGTGCAACCTGCCTGTTGGGATGGTCTCTGAGGTGCCCTGTCTCCAGGGAATGCTCGAATGGGTCAGGGGCAAAGATTGCCATGTCCCACACGGGAACATTCCCAGGCACAGCTTAATGAATTACAGGTACTCCCACAACACTAATAATGTCTTTTTCAACCACCTTCCTCTTTTACCAGGCAGTGTCAAATGACCAGCAATCCTCCATTACTATCAAGTGGTGTTTGCAAGGAAAAATAGAATTGTCCTCTCTGTTGAGCCCAGGGAAGAGATGCAGACTTTTGGGGGATACCCGAGAAGCAGGTACAGCTCCATATCATTATGTGTTGACAGACACCCTAGAAGGGACTCCCTATATAATATCATATAATTCTGTGTTATAGGGCTTTGTGGTAACAACCCTTAAAAATTTTCTAGATCTAACACACGCGCGGGCATTACAGCCTCTCACCAACTAGATTTGCATTCATTGTTACTTCTTAACCTGAAACCTCAGGTTTAAATAACTGCCAGCTGATATTATCAATGTTTGGTTTATGAGTCATTCATCCAGCACGATGGGCCAAGGAAGAAAACAGCACTTTTACAAACATGTCCTAATTTTTCTGCAGCCATGGGGAGCAGGAGAAGTGAGGAGAGAGCATGGGAACGATTTGCAGCCTGAACCACAATATACATCCTAGGTCAGAGTTATATCTGTTAGGCACATATAAATTCATAAATCAGATTGCGAAGAGAACAGCAGGAAAACAGCTCTGGGACATTAGACCTAATGTTTCAGTATAGTTTCAAGTTTCAGCAAGAAACTTTCTGCTAACTTGCTTCCTATTTAAATTTGTCCCTTTACATAAACCCCAGATTTCTTTAAGTATTTACTTTTTCCTCAGTGAGGTTCCAGAAATTTGAAAAGAAGGAAGGGAGAGAAAAATCACTACTCTGGATCTGTCTTTATAAAGAGTAATGTTTAAATAGGAACTGTCTGCCCTTCCACACACACATGCTAAGGACAGTTTTGCTAACATCAGCAGAGCAATCCACTGGTGGAAAAGCACAGAATCGAGTTGTTCTCATGAGTCTTTTTCTTCTCAGCAAAATTCTGCACCATCCAGGAACCCAGCAGACTCAGCCTTGTCGGGTGCTCAGCACCTCCTCAGGACACTGGCTCTAACAAAAACAGCAGAGACCCAGGAGCAGAGAGCAAGGCACAGTTGCCAGCCTCACTCAAATTGCAGAGATATGCAATACGTCCAGACTGGAATCATCTGGGATGCATTAGGCTGGGAAATCTCTCGTCTCTGCTAGCATACCTGCTTTTTATTCAGGGTGAGTGTCGTTGCAAAAAGAGTTATACGTTACACTGCACTGATAAAATTGTTTGTCAGAATCTGGGTTGGTCACTCTTATCTCAATACTAAAATTAAATATTTCTACAAAAATTACCCTTGACTTTCATTGCACAAAGTAAATAAAAAAAAAAATTTGTTTTGTTTAAACTGGTGGAATGCAGATATCCAAACAGAACATAAGGAAGGGAGTGGAAAATTATGCATTATGGCACTAGGTGATTCATTATGTTTTATCTGTGCTGCAAAATCGTTTTCAAGGGTATCATATTCCCTGTAAATTATCATAGCTTCTAGACCCAACTCCAACTTCAACAGTAACAGACCAAAACTAGAATGCAAATACTGACTTCATGTCTTGTGTTCAGATCCTGCTAGCAATTGTTCAAGTACAAGCATATTTAAATTACAAGTGTTTTTCTTATCTGCATCCTTTATTCAGAGGTGCGGATCCTTACTTACACTTGTGTGATACCTGGTTAATGTTAAGGGCTTTAGCATGAGAACAACAAGGTAACAGCTTTTTTCTTATATTTTCCAGTGCTTTTTTGTTTCAGCTAAATCAAAACCATAGACAGCAGCGTATTACTCAAACATTTGCCATGGACAAAAAACAGTCCCAGAAAGTTGCCTGACTTCCCTGTGTGGTCAACTGGAGTAGGCAGGCCCTTCCCAGGGGCACTTACTTCCACCATCACCACCCCCACCTCCCCAAATTAACACACATGGGATGAAGTGTCCTCTGGACATGCTTATTTAGCCTCACTGACTATAAACAGGGCTTAGTCGACTAGATACATTGCTCAAGATAGGCAAATAAATCTATTACTGGAACTTAAGCCTCAGGGGGAAAAAAAATAATTAAAAAAAAAAAAAAACAAAGAAAAACCAAAAAACACACTCAGTAAAAACATGGGTGCCTTTTCCTTTAAAAGCAGTGGGATCATGCAGCCACTGGGAGCTCTGCAACTGCCCTGGCTTCCAGCTATTTTTGGTGCAGGTCTTGGTGCTGATTTTTGACCTTTTGGAGACCTCTTTGTGTAAGGTAACACTGCTCGCTCACTCTCCCCAAAATGCACAGGAGATTGAGCAAAGCAGAAAAGTGAAAGCAACAGCAACATTCCATCAGGCAGGGAAAGAGTTAAAGATATGAGAATCAGGAAAGTTTGCTTTCTTTAGGAACTCCTACAGTTTCAGTCACTTATAAAAAAGGATTTATATTTCTGAAGTAAGGATCTGTACTTCCTCCCACTTCTGAAGCTATACATTTCCCTGCCAGACTGTGATGAAAAGGGCCCTCCCTTGCCCATTGCAAGCCAACACTGAAGTCATCCTGTTATTCTTTTTCACCTTGCACACATGTTGAAGCTTCTCTGGAACTCTTGCTGAGACACACATCTCATTGTCTCTTGCTCCTCTTTGCTCATAAGGTCATTTTTTTAATCTCAGATTTCTTTTGCACATAGTTCAAGCAGGAATGTTTCTGGGATTTCAATGAAAAGGATCCATACACATAAACAGTGTTATTTTCCAACTGCACATGATCATCTGTTAAAACCAGAAGTAATTTCTATGAAGAGGGTATTGTAAAGACATCTAACCAGAAGGTCTTGTTCACCTCTTGTTTGAAAGCTCACCTGCTGTGCCTAGCTACAATTGAACAAAGCAGTAAGGTGGGGAAGATGGCCCCCTTTTGCACCACAGCAAGGTTTGGTAGGTTGCTGCTTTTGGCAGGTGGATGTGGAACCAGCCAGGGGTGATGTGGCTGCAAGGGACCCCTCTCCCACCCGCATTGCTAGAGAAATGCTGCAAGGGCTCAGAGTCACTCACAGTACTTCTCCCTGTTGGAAGTGAGAGAGGCAGAGGCTAACTGTGCTCTTTCTTTCAGGTAATGTTCATCCTTGAGGCTGAATTTAAGGACATATTTAGGGATTGCCTAGATTTTTTTACCTGCTGGTATGCATTTGGGGCTGATCTGTGCATATCAAGGCACTGAAAGGCATACGTGCCTGCAGAGGGACACCAGCAGCCATCTCCCCTTGCCTGACCACATCACTTCCATGTACCAGTCTGTCCTCCCAGTAGAGAAAGGGTCTTTCACAAATGGGCATCACGATCATTTACCAGAGGAAGAAAAACTCACAGACATCCTGAACTCAGTGCAGAAAAGACACTATGAGCATTGCAGGCTTCAGACCACTCCCAAGATCAGTTCAGATATGATGCAGGTGTAGCCACAGGCTTTCCTTGTGGGAAGCAGAGAAAATTGGATAGCTGTATGTTGTGTATCTTTGGGGTTGTTAGAACGATGAGAATAAAATGAAGCAAGATTAAGAGGCATGTTAGGCCGTCTCTGACAGATCTTTTCCAGTCGTCAGGAAGAGTTTCCCACTGAGCTCCTGGGAGGTGCTGAGCCCCCGAGGACTCCATGCAGGGTCTGGAATTTGCAGCTACAAATGGCACTGTTTTTCTGTGCAAGGCTGAGCTATCAGGGAAGGTATCAGTGCACCCTGTTGCTATTGATACTGTAAGCAGAAGACAGAAACAGTGAATCTTTTGTTTATCAGCCCTCTGCACTGTACAGCCCTTTTGTGAATAATAAACCACCTTTCTGCAGCTCTTGTATAGTGCAATGCAACATTTTCAGGTCAGCTCAACTAAACTGAATTTGCAATCACCTGATATCAGTGAGTTAAAACAGTGCTGATAAGAAAAATGTCAGTACAAGAAAATTCGGAGGAGTTACCATGCAAGAATAAGTTAAACCAGAGAGGACATGTTCTTTCTAATAAACGCAAGTTACTTTTGGCCAGTCTTTCCATCTCAGATTTACTACTTGTACCACGGGAATCGTTGAGTTGCCTCATCACAGGTCTCATGTGAAGCTGTGCTTACTCATGCTTGCAAAGCGCTTCAAGATCAGAGAGAACAGGGTCCGTAAAACCATGAAGGATACTTTGTTACCCTTATTATTATTTGACCACAGCAATGGGGAAATAGGCTTTAAAAATGCTTCATTTCATTAGTTCATAACTGTCTTTTAGTAGCTACAGGTTTAGCTGAGAACCTAAAAGCAAAAACCAGCAAGCTGCAAGGTAGTAGGTTCAGACTTCATAAACCTCAATACAGGCCTACTTTTTTGCCTCATCGTAGCTGGTGCTTACTTGTAATACTGTCTTTAATATAAAGGTAACAAATAGGTGTAGAGGCGAAGTAAATGCAAATTAATCTGGGACTCACCCTAAAACATCTGTCTCCCAAAATGTTACCCTCTGACCCATATCCCAAGTTGCTATCCTTCTCCCTGCATAATCTTTTGGGGTCTCATTAACTCATCGGGCAAGTCTACACAGCAAAAGGCTGTTAGAGATCCTGAGGTAGCTTTGAGGAAACTGGCTTGTCTACATGGTACATTGCAATGCCATGCACAGATGCTAGCCTAGATCCCAGAGGCAATATAGCTGTGTCTGTATAGCAAAGCACCCACGCTAATTAGCCCTGCCCCTGAGGATGCTGCAGGAATGGAGCTAATTAGGTATGCTGAGAGGCACCCCTGTTAATTAGCCCGGGGAGAACACAACACTAACAGAGCTTCCGATCGTGGCATTAGCTCAGGGATCTCTGTAGTGTACCTGGCTGTGTAGCATAGCTGAGCCCACAGGCTCTTTTGAGGGTCATCCTAAGAATCTAAATATCTTCTTTCAATCCAGTCTCACCATCTGACCCCGCTTTTGCAAGTATTCATAGTTCTTTTTCTTGATGGTAGGAAAATTAAGTAAATAAATAGATTTGAAAGAATGAAGAAAAAATCCAGTATAAACCACACCACAATAATCTAGCTTTATTAAATTCAGCTACAGGTAGCGACATGCCTGTAGGGAAGCACTGGATATTCCTAACCCATCTTGATAAAAGGCATGCTTTGGCTAGTGGTGCATGTTTTGCAAGCAGTGTATCTCTAAAGGTACTGTTAACTCAAGCCAACTCAGCCATAAATACAGGCTATGGTATATTAAGTTGTAATCATGCAAGATTTTCCATTACAAGTTCAGGGTTGAACAAAACCATTCCAGCACGGGCCCACACCTGGGAAGGATGGAGCTCCCAAGAGAGCAGTTTTATCCCCTTCCTTCTCTCCTGGTTGCACCACATAGGAGAATGAGGCTGTTCTGGCCGGTCTTTCTGCCTCCCCTCTCCATCACACTCCCCTGCTCACCCAGCAGCACTGCCCATAGGTTTGCACGGCGTACAAAAGGCTCTCCCCACCTCTGCCGCTACCTGGCCTGGCTGCCAACGCTAAGCAACGTATGGAGTCATGCCTCTAACTCCCACGGGTTGCTATACAGTGACGTAGGGGTAAATAACAGTCTGTCTCCACTCCAGTCAGCACAGAAACAAGGATGGTGATGAGACTATTGTTAAGGAGCGCTTCCAAATGTCATTCCAACCACCGTATCGTAGGTACGCATAAAAACGCTAAGTTAATGCCTTTCAAAGAGAAAATGTGAGTGCTTTGTGTCATTGCAGGATGGTTTTTTATAGTTCTTACTTTTGAAAAATGGAGCACAATCATTTCCAATTATCTTCCAGGTGTGTGTGTAAGAGTACCCAGTTCCTTCCCATATGTTTCAGAAAAATATTTTTTCACATGTGTAACACTTCTGAATAGGACCTAAGCCCTTAAGTCCTGGCTTGAGTTCTCTGTCACACTTCAAAAATGCACAGTGAAATTTTAAATCAGCCTCAAGAGCTTATAGTGTGGAACTGCCGGAACATTTGAGACAAGCAACATTTTCAAGAAAGTGGATATTATGAAATGATAAACACTGGAGAAGACAGAGGTTTCTTCTGAAATTAATGTTCAAGTAGACACAACACCTAGGCTTCTGCCAAAGATAGTTACATTTTATGTGTATAAAAAAAAAAAATAAATTACAGGATCTTATCTTTTAGGTTTCCAAGAATTTATAATTTAGGATATGGAGTGGGGGTGTGTAATATATCTGAAAATCAAAGTTCAGTACTTAATCTTTACTTTGTATCCTTTAGGAAAAAAATAAAATCTTAAAAGTATGGTTTCTGTTTACGTAGCTTTATGATACTTGTCAAAATAATACAGTGTGCTATAGCATTTACTAATACAAACTGGGATAGCTCACACAACCTTGACTTTACAACAGGAGCTCTGAATGTATACCAGACGCACAAAATGGTCATTAACTTGATATGATATGAGAAAGGTGTTGAAGTGAATAGCTTATATAGTAGTTATAGTGGTTCTGTCTATGGACAGTTTATCTTGCTCTTGAACAGTAAAAAAATACTTTAACATGCCTTGTCTCCAGGCAAGTTTAGAGTGACCTAGAGACTTCTCAGTTTGAGAGTTTGAAGTCTGTCCCTCTATTTATACTTGGCCAGTTCTCCAACCAAAGCTGTGATACATCACATCATCTCACAGAGACCTAAAAAATAGAAGAGACTGAAACTCTAGGCAGGAGCATCTCCTGGCTCTATAAAAGTCAATACCATGTGCCAAAATAATGAAAATACCCCAACTCTGTTTCCAACTGTATAAATAGCTCAGATTTTCAGCTTTACTGCCAGAGCTTGGTTAATACCCTTCAGTTTCTCTGTCCAGATTTACATCTACCAATAACTCTTTTCTCCTCTTCTATCTATTCAAAACAAAACCTGAAGCACAAAGGTTATCAACTTTCAAAACCTCTTGTGCATAGACAGACGCATAAGGTCTCTGCCAGTGAACAACAGCTCATCATTCATTCTTATTATACCGGCATATAAACCTTCTGGGTGACCAGGGAAATGGGAAGCTTGCTACCCTCATAACATTCCTCGTGTGCCTGCTGACGGTGTTGTGTCTATACATTGCCTGCAATTCCCAGAAAAAGAAACACAAAGTTAAGAATAATTCAAGATACATAACAAGGAATAGGAAGGAAGGATGACCTGCATACAAACTTTGTCAAAAAGTCCTCAAAATTAATTTCTTGAGTTGGTTAGAAAAATTAGAAAAAAAAACTGTGGTGCTTATCAATCTTATTTCTCAAAGACTGAATAGCCTTAGTATAGTTTTGTATGCCATCTGGAAAAAAAATATATATATAATATATATATATATATATATATATATATATATATATATATAAAATTGTGGTTAACACTAAAGCTCATAGTTTTATTTAATTTGGAAGCCCTTAAAAACTTGTTAGTGGAGGTGCTATGTGGACAACAGCTTCATATTTCTTGAGTTACCCTGTTCTGACCTCTTCCAACCATCCACAGAAACAAGAGGTCCAGCAGACAACGGGCTGCCTGCCATGGAGCTACAAAGTCATCCATGAGACAGAAAGGCTAATCAAGTGAGCAGCAGTGTGTCTGGGGTGCAAACACGATGTTCCCCCAAACCAGCATATTCCAGATCTGCCCGACATGTCCATACAGACATAGCCAATTTCTTTTGTACAAAGGAAACACTGCCATTTCATATTAAAAAAAAAAAAAAAAAAAAAAAAAAAAAAAAAAAAAAAATCTGTCTGCCCTCCAAACTCCTAGAATTATAAATAGTTTGAGTGACAAATACTTCTGTCACAGTGTTCAGGATACCTTCAAAAGATATCCCTAGCACTGTATGTGATTAACCATAGCCTGGCAGAGTTCACCTTCATAAACATATTCTGGATAAGCTTGTTGGTTTGAACTAGAATTTGTGTGTCTGTGTCTAAAGAAATAAGAGAAGAATCAGGAAGATAGGTTGTGTCAGTTAGTTGTACACTTTTCAAGCTGACTGGTATAGCTCGATATCTGTGCTTTAAGAGCATTAAATTCCTAAATGTTGTGTACTATGTTGCTCAACAGGTTTTATCACAGAAAAACTAAGTCATCTTGATGAATGAAGTTTCATATAGGATAATGTTAAAAAGAAAAAAATTCAGAATTTATTTGCATAGATTGCATTAAATTGCTTGTTTCCCACCCCTCCCATGCTTCTCAGTACCTTAGAAATGTATTATAGTCAGAGGGTTATTAAAATAAAGTTTAAAAAAAAAAAAAAAACAAAAAAACTGAAGTCAATCTCAAACCACAAGACAAAGCAAACAGTACTGCAGTCTATTTTCAGACCTCCTCAAAGTTATTCATATTCTAGATGTCAAACAACCATGCATCTCCCAGTCTTTTTTCCTGAAATTGTGCTACAGTGTCTTCCATGGGCACATTAAATTGTTTCCTCTTCATTATGTTAAGGGTGGGGAATGGGAGGGGGAAGGCAAACCACCCTAAAGTCACATGTGTTTCTAAGAAAAAGGGTCTCCCCTCTTCAACTTAATAAGAAGAATAGTCCTCCGTTAATGAAGTCATGCTGCGATTTCAAAAATACCTAGAACAGGAAAGCAGTAGATAACTATGTTGAGAAACATGTAACCTCAGAGAAGCACAAGGAAAGCTGTGTGAAATACTAAGGTTTAAATGCTCTTTCAAAAATATTTGTTGTCATTCTGACCCAACTGGAAGACGAGGGGAGATGAAAGGTTTGCAATAGCAGCTTGTCTTGGTTGGTAGAGCCTGAATATGGGATTTTGCCTGGTTTATTTTAAGTCTGAGCAGCTAGCAGCTGGAGTATGTCCCACATGCTAACACTTGGAATTCCCCATGGAGAAGGTTTGTTTCAAAGCTGGCTGTCTTTCTGCTTTATTAAGTTTACGTACTCCATCATTGCCTCAAGTCTCGATGATAATGCACCTACTCTGAGCGATCAAACCTCCTTGCCAACTTCATATGAACTGTTTCTGATTTAAATACAATATATTAACAATATCTACTTGCACACGCATACACACCCCATCCAGATACTGAACAGACAGTCTTGCAGACTTACACAGCAGCTGTGACAACAACTGATGTCACCTCCTTTGCAGAAATTTCCACAAGCGTCTTCCAAAGGCCAAGTTAAACAAGATAGAGCTTATCGGTTTCTTTAAAGTGCTCTGGATGAGACCAGTCCATGTGACCCCCCTTCCCGGCTGCGGGGGTGTGGTATGTCACAGCTCCCCTATCAGCTGGCACATGGCGGCAGGAGATATGAGACAGCAGAAAAGTAGTAGTAACAACATCACGACTGCCGAAGATGGAACAAATACGCTGAGTAACTTCAGTGTGTGTGCACTTACTTGCCGAAAACAGGTGGAGGGTTTTCAGCCCTGACTTCTGCTTGCACATCCCACTCGGCACAGATGGGTGGTAATGTTGTCAGCCCCGCACTGGAAAGGCTATAGTTCGTTAGCATCGTATTAATGCCTTTAGCAGTGAGTTGCAATACTTTTTTATTATTATTATTCCCAAAGTTCTCTCCTCTTTTGGGTATTCCATAAATAAAAAACTAATTACTAGCAGGGGTATTTTTCCAAAAGCAACTCCTTAAAATAAATTCCCTGCCTCTCTTTTTGCATCAGAAATATTAGAGAATTTCAGAAGATACCCTCCTCACTTTTACTGCTGAAACCACCAAATGTTTCAGATTTCCTTCACTGCCTTTAATTATGATTAAATGATCAGTTGAAAAGAGTTAATTTTTAAAACTTTCACAATTATTAATTTTATTCAAATTAACCGGCCATTACATATTAACAAAAGCATATATTGAAACATTTGCAAAGCACCTCATTTAATGCTTCATCCTTGCTAGAACAAAAAGGCACCTTACCTGCAGTAATTTAAAACATTGCCATAGTATCAAACATTGCTTTTGGACAGCTTGCAATTTTCACCCGTTTCCCTACATGGGCTTGTTAGCACAGAGGACAGCCTTAAACTCTTACCTCCAGCTAGTTATCATATTTTCATTAACAAATGTTGGTAATGTACTTTTTTTACTTGTGAACATGCCTTTTCAATTTCTGAACTTATATGGACATACCCCTCCTGTCACCATTCCACTGGGCTTCATTTATAGTTTCCCCCACAGTAAACTTTTCTGATTTTAAAAAGCTGGAAATACACAGGGCAGGAAAGAAAAGAAAAACAAAAAAAATCCACTGAGCAAAGACAGACACCTTGCAGACTCTTTTTTTTTCTTCTTACATTTCAGAAGTTAAGGGATTGCCTTGCTATCTTCAGAACACCAGAACTAGATAGATTACACAAATATATTCTTCTTTGCCCCTTCAGGTTGTCATGCCAATTTCCTTCTACAGATTCATACTCTGCATGACTAAGAATTCACCTTATATGGAGACTTCTTGCACCAGCATAGTTACAGTCACTCTAGGTCACTTGGGCACGTCCCTTGTAAATTGTGCTATTGGTACAAGATAACAGTATCTGGCATACAGCAGCATAACATATAAATTCTGGATCTAGCACAGCAGTGAAATGTGTGTATATAAGTACACAAGAATTTGTTGCAAAGATAGTAAGAGAAGCTGAAATTCAGTCTTACCCTTCATTCCTGAGTTCCTTCTCCTAGCCCTGCTACTGAGTGTGGATTGACACAACTGTTTTGTTTTGTTTTTTTTTTTTTAAATCAGATTTTCTGCAGTTCTGCCAGGCTGCTCCAATCTTACTGCAATCTCACACCTGTTAAGAATCTCATTGACTGGTCCAGCCAGCTCACACTGGATGAAAAAATCTAGATCACCTTTATCCATTTCCTCTTTCGAAATTAAGTATCTCCAGATAGAAAATAAGCTTTCTAGGGCACAGACAGCCTCTCATATTTCAACTGTAATGTGCCCAGCACAAAATTGTGCCTGGAACCTAGATGTTAATGCCATCTTAAATAATAATATTTTTTCAGGTGCTGGCCAGAGTTTTAACAGATAGCTCCAGCAATGAGCACATTGGAGTAACCAAGACACAGCTGCTTGAAACAGCAACATGCAGCGGTTACATATGCAGTGAAAAAAGACCTCCTTCAAGAAAGCAGTTGAGGACAGCTGCAGATCAGACCTCCACAGGGTTCATTAGTTTTTTTCATCTTCTGTAAGCCAACCGTGGGCATGACTTTAGATGATTAAACTGAAGATTTGTGTGTCATTACACCCTCTTCAACTCCAGCTGCATCTTTTTATCCATGAAAGCCCCAGGATTCATAATCCAAGATAGAAGCCTTCCTATCTCTGATACTTTCTTGGCATGCTGGTTACAATCACTTCTCCCACCATCACCTATTTCTGAACTGTCTTTGGTTAAAGACCCTTAATCCTTGCTGGAACTGTAGAAAGAGAAGCATGGATCACCAGCCTCCTAAAATCATTTGTGAGCCCTGGACTATGGCAGACAAAAGGCCTTTCAGTATTCTCCCCAGCAAGTCTTCCACAAAGGTATAATGATTTCTGTGACCAAGTTCACTACACCTTTATGCTGTAGGGAAACTCTAAATGGTCCTGTTATGTACAAGACATATATTTATATGTAATCCTGCTCATACAGATGGTGAGATGCCAGCTATGAATGAACAGAATTTATAAAGCTCTGCCAAAGGCACTTCATAGCTATGAGTTGCACACATGGGTGCTTTAAGCGCTGAAAAAGGCCTTGCTTTCTTCAAACCTGAAATATGGGCCCATGGCCCCTCCACCTACAGAATTCACAAGCCAGCGCATGATAGCCCATGCACAGTGAATTTTAAATGCAGACACATGACCTCAGATTCCACTCATAAAGGGCAATCTGTACTGCAATGTTTGAGACTTACAAGTGCAAACATAGCAGAGGCACTACAGGGCTTATGTGAAAAAATAATTATTCCATGAAGAAAGGAAGTTGGCTTGCTTTGAGCAGAGGTGTTAATAGACTAACCTTTTTCCCCAAGACCAGACTGCTTACCTGAAAATATGAAAACATCTACTGACGCAGTGTTGTATTTATTTGAGGTGGGTATCATATCCCACACATGTTAAATGTCTTGCTGCATTTCAGACTAAGATGGTAGTTAATCTGAATGCCAGTTATAGGAGTCATTTACTAAAAAATAAGCCTTGGACAACTGTGCTGCAATTTTAGTAATTTGGAGGCAGAGAAGCATGCAGATCATAGTATACAAATACAGCTGAATTTAAAAGAGTACCTTCAGAATAGATACCTTCTCCCTTTCCACCGGGTTCAGGATAGTTAATAAGAGCCGCATCTTGAATGACAGTAACAAAACAGGGACTTGGCACAGAGAAGACTTGCTTCATCACAGAGATTCACCAGAGTAGAGGTAAAACCAGCAGCAACTAGAACAGGGGAAAAAATAGGAGGGATTAGAAAGACCTATGGTAGAAAGATATTTGTGGTATGATTGGGATATGGTAGAAAAGATATTTGGGGCCCTCTCAAAGGCAGCATAAATTTGTTTCCCTAAAAAAGGTTTCTTCTTCCCCTGTGTCCAATATGTTTCAGTTGCAATCAATATTATCAATATGCAGGTAATTCCCTAGAAGTGAAAAAAGTAAGAACACTTGGGTAGATATAGCATTAGCACATTAGGCAGAGGGCCATCAGCTGCTCTGACTGTACCTGAGTAATGTCCCCTTAGCCTCTTGTCTTCTTCCATTAGAAGAAATTTAGTTTCCTCTGCTAGCATAAGCATGTATGTAGTAGGTTCCTAACCCTACCAAAACAAGTCAGGCCTAAAAACTGAGGAAGACAAAAACCTACAGAAAGTGTTTAAACTAAGCCAGACCCTACTGAGAGAACCAAGCAGTTAAGCAGCTATAACTGCAGTCTGCGTGGGATCCCAGTGACACTGAGGGTGTGGGACAACCTCCTCACTTACTTTCCTTCCAGCTGGAACTGAAATAGGCATGAGCTAGAAAGCACCTCACCAACAGCAATACAAATATGTCTAGGAGCAAATCTCTGTTGATGCAAAGTAGGCAGAAGTGACCAAGGGCACTTGTTCTCCTAGCAAATCCCTTGTACCTCAGAGAGCTACGGGACTAGCATGGATGGGCAAGATCTAAAAGTCTGAATCTCCTTCCTTGAAGTTTAAGTATGTAGTTATTACTTCTTGGTTCTGAAGTTCTTCTGGATAAACTTTGAGTAAGAATAGGAAAGGATAAAATTTGTTGTCTCAGGTTGGATACACCTTTCCTTACTTTTTTTTCCACCAGTCTAGAGGTGATTTAGAGGAGGGGCAGTGTCTAAGGTCATACATTTGTCTCCTAATGCAGGAAAGTAGATGTAAAGCTACTAGGACACTCAGTGGAAAATGCTGCTGGCCAGCTGCTAATATGTAAGACAGGGACTCCCTGGACATCCACACCTCAGTGGAAGCCATGTCATGACTGCTTTCCTCAGAATATTTTCCCTTGTGTTAGCATCTCCACAACAACCCAGTGACAAGAAGATCTAAAAGAGAAAAGGAAAAAAATGAGGCCTACATCTCTTACATCTGCTTCTAGTAATTGATCCATCTACTTTAGTCCTGCCAGAACTGAAACTGTCTGCACTCAAGGGCGGACTTTGCTTTTGCTCTGTTTGTGGAAATGAGAGTGTGTATTTGGATGTGTTTGATTTCTTAGTGCTGGTTTAATATGCTCTAAAATAAGCAAGTTGCAAGGCTGCTTTCTTTACAGAGATACACAACACAATTTCTCACCAACAGCCCAAGGCAGATCATGCAAGGTCATTTGCTAAGATGCTAGAGTGCTAATATATGATATGCATGAGCACCTTTTACATATATCACACACACCTACTTGCCTGGAAGAAAATCAGTAACTCCCTACACCAAAGCTTGCATTTGTCTGTTCTTACTAGAGGTGGGATGGTGCCCTAGGGAGGGCCACAGGCATTCCATTACTTAGGATCAGCGCCTGAGCAAAATGGAAAGGCTGCTAAAAATAAGTAACATTTGCTCATTGGTATAAATAACAAAAGCAAGACAGAAAGAAAAACAGAAAGAGAACAAGATGAAAATGAAAACTGGCCCCAGACCAGGCCTCGCAGAATGACTAGTCACCTCCTCATTGCCAATCCTGTCACCATCTCCAGAATGGGCAAGATACTTCCCACTGCCAAG